CCCCAAAACCCCAAAACCCCAAAACCCCTCCATTGATTATTATAAGTATATGATGATATTTTTGAAATTCAAGTTTATTTATGATAAATATAATTTAAGAAATAAAGTTCAAATAAGAATTAGAATTGAATGTTAGTATCATATTTAATCGTTGAAAAAAGTAAAACCCCGGATTATACCTAAAGATCTTCTGCGATTCTTAATAGAAAATTCTTCATGAGCTTTTAGACACTAACTGATGTCTTTTCTATTATCAAGAAGCAGATGAACATTTGAATATTGTTGTTTTTATTTTTCAGAGTTATCTAAGTTTATATATAAAAATTCGTCAAAGTCCTCCTCATCAAATTAGAAGGAATGCAGTGTCGACTTTGATGGAGGCTTAGGTTCTTCTTACTTTACTTCCTCCAATTTTTTGAATTTTTTTACTTCGGATCTATTAAATTTTTAGTAAAACTAGCTAGAAGATGATTATTGCTGTAGAATTGCTTGATTAGGGATAAATTACATCCTTTAGTTATCTAGAGCACCTTTAAAATCGTAGTTTTAATTTAGTGACTAGGCTACTCCATTGTTCTTAATTGTACCATCTATCACCTGCATACTGCTATTTCGAGCTAATTATAACGCCTTGGAATAGCAAATTTTAAAATTTTCCTTTGAATGTTAAGAGGAGTGATTCCTTTTACGTGTACTTGAATCTGATTAATAGCCATCTTAAATAACATTCATACTGGATAAAGCCCTCTCCTACATGTAATAATTTGGAGCAAGTATAAAAGATTGAAACTCTGGTTCTTATATCATTCTATCATATATCTATTGGTTGTTATTCTTTAAATTAGACGCAAATTCATTGATCCATATGGAATGTTACAATGCTTCCCTGTCCTGTTAAAACCATGAATGCTATAAAAAATATAAACATTAATGTAGCCAAAAAATTAAAATTACATTAAGGCATTCTTCAGTAGTTGGCCTCTATTCAGGTGATTTGTAAAGCATCCATTTTAATAAGTGTTTACTTTCTTATGATACAGATAAGTTTTCATCGTCAATTATTTAATGAGGATCTTTAAACTGGTTATTTTATAAAACTTGTTTCATATTTTTGCCTCCATAGAGCATTCTCCCTGTTAATAAACTGTAAAACAAAGAACCCAAACTGAAAATGTCACTTTTAAAACTTGTTTTGAAACCTTTTAACACTTCTGGAGCTACATAACCAGGAGTTCCACATTTCTTATTCAAGAGGTTATCTTCATCAATCTTACAAGCCAATCCCAGATCTGCAATGCACACTTAAAGATTTTATTAGTCTAATACAAGTATATTATCGGGTTTTATATCTCTGTGGACAATTCCTTTTTTATGCATAAGATCTATGGCCAATAACAGTTATTCCATAATAACTCTAATATCACCTTCCTAAAGCTATTAATTCTTCTGTAAGTACTCAATGAGGGGACCATGCCGAGCGTAGTTCATTACCAATTATACTCTATCATTATCGCCGTATACTTGATGCAATTAAACGATATTATTACAAATTTCGAGCTCTCTGAGAAATCTTATTTCCCTCAAAATATCAAATTGGTTGTCGGTAATTTTACGCTTGAAAGTTTTTACTGCAAATAGGTCTTCAGGACTTTCTTTTGAAGCATATAAATCTACCGTTGCTTAACCTCCTTATCCAAGTTTTTTAATTGCATTATATAACTTATTAATGGGAGGATGTTAGATTATACATATCCTGTTTAGTTCTATTTCAAATTTCTGTCTATCAATGTTGCTATTGAATTTAACCAGCATTGACAATCAAGTCTCTGGGTCATGTATATTTCTCTCTAATTTTACTTCAGATTATCTTGTCTGAAATAAGCTTTCCTATTATATTGATAATCTCATCATCCAGACATCGAAATATTCGTATTATAATTCTGGTTCTTTTGATGACATATTTTAATTTTTAATTTCTTTTCGCAGTACCAAATAAGTGCATGCAATTGCACATAACCCTTTAAAAACAGTCTTGTAAACTGGGAAATTTTTAGATTAAACTTGGATTTAAAGATTAATGTATTCCAATAGTTCATAATTTATGTTTAGGATTTTTAAGTCTTCAGGCTACGTTTGGATGAATTAAAGTCCACTCTTATTCATTAAATAATTTTGTTTGTTATTTATATTTATTACTCTTTTAATTATCTAAAATGCTATTCAGATTTGCCATTCACGGGGTTTTGGGGTTTTGGGGTTTTGGGG